TCTCGGGGCGCGGCGAGCCCCCAAGCGCTTGTCCATGGTGAAGTCATTGTGATCTCTGGGCCACGAGCTGATGAGGGCATTTCTTCTGTGCTTAGAATGGTTGCAGCTGGCGCGGGTCGACCTCTCGGATGGCTTTAGGTCGATCTTTCCCGTCTTGACATCTTTGGCGGGCTCGTGAGCCTCCAAGGGTGACTTCTTCGAGTTTGGCTCGCTGTAGCCTCCGATCGGGGAGGGTCATGCCTTCTAGTGCTTGGGCCCTCGTGGCACGATGACGTCGCGGTCGCCGCATCCCCGCCTCTAGGTGTGGTTGTCGCTCTCGATGAGGAGCTAGCGCGACTTGTCGCTGTGGAAGTGGGGTCTGAATGCAACGCGGTTCAGTCCGCTCGACGCGGCATGCAGTGCGTTCAGGGAGTCCACTTCCTCGGATGTACACACCTCGGAGCGGCAACTGACAGTCTGCTGAGGCGTGACGTGTGGTTTGTTCGTCAAACAGGGCTGGGCTCTGGTTCCGAACTTGACTACGCAAGGCATAGCACCGAGTAGCCACCTGATTACTAACGACGATGCCACGGGGCGACGGGTGATCTCGTCGCTCATGCGTGTCTTGATACACGATGCCCCGCTAGTTGTGGAGACACTGCTCGAGGTGCGTTTCCACCACCGGGTCCAGGCTTCCCACACGGTTGACCTAGATGGGGCAGAAGCTGGTGATGGGCGCTGACCCATAAGTGTGGATAACCTCGTGATTCCCCAAAAAGATGTGTTCGGTTGAGGCCATTCACTGGGTGAGTTCGTCATGAGCCATGGTCTTCTGGCTTCCTGGTCAGAAGACTTGGCCATGACTAGTGACGAGAGAGGGTACTAGCCCCCTATGTAGGTGAACTCTAGGATGCCACCGCCGGAGGCAGTTCCGAGAGTGTGTCCGCCGTGGGCCATGGGACCTAGATCTCTATGGCGAAGGTTTGGGCCATGGCTATAGGCGGACGCAGGCGCTGGCCCTTTGATGCCGGTGAACTCATAGTTTTCATGGCGGATGTGGCCACCGTGGGCCATTCCACCAGCGAGTTCTCCAACAGTGTGAGGAGCCATCGCTTCCTACTCAACAATTGAGAGTGCGCGACTGTCCTATACCTGGCATGTCAACTGTTGGTATTTTGTAAACCATACTAGTAAATTTAAACGATTACCGCGCTGCTCTAGGAAGATGATGGTAGCATCCAAAAGACACAAGAATTTATACTGGTTCAGGCCGGAGCCCTACGTCTAGTCTTAGAGATGATCGAGTGTGTGTTCCTCGCTTAAATGCTCTGAAGTTCTTACAATGGGGGTGCAAGAATGGTGGAAGAGGTAGGAGACATGGAACTAGGAGATGGGCTGCCCAAAGGGAAGCTTCAGGAGCCCTTCTACGGTGTAAGAATGAGTGAATAAAAGATGGATCCCTAGAGGGCTGCCCTGGCTGCCCTTATATAGAGTTCAGGGCTAGGGCGCATACAAGGAAGAAGGTTCTCTCGATCGAAGGGTCGTGAGCCTGAGGGAGGTCCTAGCTAACTTGGCTTGCAAGCTACGCCGTCTTGTGGGGTATGTCTGGGCGTGGTTGTCGTCATGGTCTTGTGGCCACGTCGTGGCATGGTGTGACGTGGTGCTACTGTACCGGCCATGGCGGCACTGTAGGCACGGTGGTGGTTCGCTAGCTATCCTACGCGACGTGGTCCTCATCTTGGTTTTCATCATCGCCTCCTAGTTTCTGGGGGTGTTGTATAGGAGTTGGTAGCCACCCCCGGGTCATCGATCGCCTTGTTAGTTTGAGGGGCTGAGGGCCATGATCCCGATCGTTGGGGTAGCGGCTCCCGCCAGTTTGGACGACTTCTAAGTCAAGGCCTTCATTGTGGATCCCATCCCATGGTGGGTAGAATCATACATGCATCCTATCAACCGTATTTGGATGGTGGATCACCGTACCGGTTGTCATCGCCGTGCGGGGTTGTCTTGTCTGCACTGCGTGGCGTAGGATGACGTCTGACCGGACCGAGGTGACCGCTGTCCCTTCGGTCCTTGCAGGGTCAGAGTGACGTGCCTATCCTTGTCAGAGCGGGCGTGCCTGGCTGTGCTCGATCTCTCCCCATTCCTCCCTGGGGTTGGGACGGTGGAAAGGTCGTGCGTCTTCTTGTGCGCTGTGTGGCTAAGTCTGATGAAGGGGTCGTGGCCAATCTCCACCTTAGCGCTTGGCCTGATTTTCTTGGATCGGCTAGACCTCGGTCGTTCAGGCCTTTGCTAGCTGATATATTGTGGGCCACGTGGCCCACTGACTAATCGGTGCCTTGAGACATCCCGGTGTTATAACCCCAACACATATGTTTTTCAGACATATGATGCGAGTGTCTATTTAAAATGTTTGATCTGTTTCAGGCGTATGTTGCAAGTGTAAATTATCTAGATGTTGTAGTTGCTATACACATATGTTGTAAACGCATGTTTGTAAATGTTTCACCTATTTCAGATGTCTGTTGTAGAAGGTGCTTTCATGTTGTAACATTAGCAGGCGTAGGAAGCGGGCGCATGCAGATGCGGTCCTCGCCGGCGTAGCGGTCCCTACGTGCGCGGCAAGGGAAGCCAGCGTGTGACGCGTAAATAGGCATGTGGTGCGGTCCCCACCGGCGTACGCTTCAACAGTGATGTGCGATTGCATGCGACGCAGCATGGCGTGTAAGCGCGGCGATTTGCGTCTGGTACGGGGCGTGTAGGCGCATAAGCGGGCGGCGCGCCGCTTATTTCTTCTTCATGAGTGGAGCAAATTCGCGTGGGAACCGTGCATGCGGATGAAAAATTGTTGCCACTCCTACAGCTGCATGCATTAGAGAGGACGCTGTTGGCGCATGCGAAACTAAGGGAGCAGGGTGTGCAGGGGGTGCTCGACGCTGGGGCGAGCATGCAAGAGGAGGTGAAGCGCAGCAGTCAAAGTGGAGAGCACGACGGGACAAGCGTGGGCTTCTGGACTGGGTCTAGGGTTCAAACGTCCGGACGCTAGCCACACTCTTATATTTTTTAATATAATTAGTTAAACTTTAGTATTGTGTTAGAATTATAATTTTTTTATAGAAACGGTGTAATATCTTTATTATCATTTTTTCTGCCATCTTCACTGGATGTGGAATAGACCGTGTGGCGGAGCTAGAGAAATTTGGAGGGGAGTGTGGCCACCGGCCATAGATAATGCACCTAGCCATTGATCAGTGATGACACGTGTATTTTTTTTTCCCACGGTGTGGTGTTTTTTTCCCACGGTGTGGTGTGTTGCCACTTGCCACGACCGACTGGACACGTTTTTTTCAGTCCAACTGCCGCATCTTCCTGTTTCAGTCCAACTGCTGAAGCCCAACAACATTTGTTGGCCCAATGTGCCTCCAGCTCCAAGCCTTCCCTCAATGTCCACCGCCGCCGCCGCCACACATCACCCGCTCCGCTCCCCCTGGCGCCGCTCACGCGCCCACGCCGACCGCACTGCCGTGTGCCGTCCGTCTACAAGCAAATGCGCCCCGATGCCAGCAGCGAGCTTGACCACGCCTTTGCCCGCCGGCCGCTGCGGCCGCCTACTGGCCTCGCTTGCAGCGCCTCACGTCCTCACCAGGCACCAAGCTCCCAGTGCTCCCACAGAACTCCACCAAGGGGCACAACCGCACAACGCACAAGGTGGAGGCCATCGGCCCCTTTCCATGGATGGCCAAGGCAAGTTGCAAGGTGACTCTGAGGGGCTGCTCCTGAAGACCAATCAGATCGAGGAGCACCCAAAACTGTTCGTCAAGGATTACTCCGTGTATGAATTGTTTTTACGCCTTTTCCTGATAAAAAAGTTGGTCACTGCACAGACGCACTGCTGCAACTTGTACCGTCCGTTTTTCCTCCTACTGCTGGTAACCGTTCATATAGGTCCTGATTGGTTGCTCGGGGGATGGCGCTCATGGGAAGCAGGCTGAAACCGTGCACTTTGCTATGTTCGGTTGCAACTTAAGAGTTGTTCGGTTCCCAGGTTTTGGTGACCTGGAATCTTTCCATCCGGAATTCCTTCTGTAATTTATACGGTTAGCCTTCACTGGGAACGGTTCCTGCCGAGAACCACCCTAACCGAACAGGCCTTTAGTCCTGGATCATGTTTGGTTGCACATATGCATCAGAGTTTTGGGTGTCTTACACATGGGCATCAAGTTATCCTGGCTCGTTTGGGAATGAGAAATCGAGAAGACCGAGACGTGCGGGATCGAGGAGGGGAAAGGAATGGAACGAAGCAGGCAAATGATGCGAGGCAGGGAATCAAACAAGGCCGAAGTGCATTGCGCGGTGCCGGATGGGCCTTCGGACGGCCTGAGCCGGGCAACCAATCACGCTAGGGTGGATAAGGAGCCGGATCAGTTCGGTTCGGCTCGGCTCGTTTACCAGCTTGAGCTGGCTGTTTTGGTCCTCAAGCTAACTCAAGTTGAGGGGATTGTCGTGAGTGAGTGTGTGTGGTCGCCTTTATATAACTAACTATTGTCTCTAGCAAATGAGTCCCGAGTTCATTTGGCTTATTCCTTCCCGTCAAGCTTCCCTTCCATGGTTGTTGCCCTGGTTGGGAACTTGGGACCAACACCTCTTCACATCTCTCAACGCCACCGTTAAGACTTACGAGTAAGCAACTACAGCCTTTTGGTAACGAATTCTTCTACATTTTTGCATTTCCGTCAGTTCACTTGCACCACACTGTCATGTACTAGTAACTGTGAAACAATTCTGCAAATTTTTATATATACTTGATGAAGGGAAAAGCCCCATGTTCTTTTTGTTATTAATGATGCTTACTAATGATGCTTCTCCTCATGGACATGATGAGCTGGGAAATTTACACATACAGATCAGACATCAGTAGATACCGTTTTCAACTATCTGTTATCTATACACAGATCTAAATCTACTAATATATATCCAACTTATGTTTCTCCATTTCCTCCAGGAACCGGTGATCTTGTTCCATGGAGCTAAGCACAGCCACTACCTTCTTGCTCGGTCTGATGCTAATCCTTGTGTCATTCCTTAGCCACAAAGCCAGAGGCAAATCCATGAACAGGAGGCCTCCTGGTCCTTGGGCCCTCCCCTTCGTCGGATGCATCCACCTGCTCACCTCGCAGCCGCAGGCCGCCCTACGTGACCTGGCTCAGAAGCATGGCCCGGTGATGTACCTGAAGCTGGGGCAGATCGACACCGTCGTCATCTCCTCGCCGACGGCGGCGCAGGAGGCGCTCCGGGAGAAGGACCTAAGCCTGGCGTCGCGGCCAAGCTTGCTCGCCTCGGAGATCATCTGCTATGGCAACCGCGACATCGCCTTCGCGCCCTATGGCGACTACTGGCGCTTGCTGCGCAAGATGTGCACGGTCGAGCTCCTCAACGCTTCCAAGGTGAGGCAGTTCGCGGCCATCAGGGACAGCGAGACCATGTCCCTAGTCAGGGAGATACTCTGTGCTGCCGCCGCCGGCGGAGAGCCCGTGGACCTCGGCGGCCTGCTCCTGTCGTGCACCAACTCCATAACTGGAAGGGCAGCGTTTGGCAACCGCTGCAGCAGGGACCTCAAGGCAGAATTTCTGTCGGCCATCTCCGTGGTGCTAAGCAACATCTCAGGGTTCTGTTTCTCGGACCTCTTCCCGTCGCTGCGGTTGGTGGACGCCCTCACCGGGACCAAACGCCGCCTACTGAGGGCACACCAACAGCTCGAAGACGTGTTTGGCAAGATCATCTCGGAGGGGGAGGCACGACGGCAGGAGAGGAAGGGAACCGTTGCTGGAGAAGATGACGACCTTCTAAGCGTCATGCTGAGGATTCGTGATGAGGGGCAATTTGAGATCCCAATCAACAACACAAACATCAAGGCAGTCATTCTGGTAAATACATGATGTTGATACTTGTACTTGTTTAATTTCCTTGCTACTGCCATAATACATAATTTGAATTTTGGTTCAGGATTTATTCACAGGAGGGACGGAGACGACTTCGTCAGTGGCCGAGTGGCTGATGGCAGAGCTGATGAGGAACCCTGACGCGATGCAGAAGGCGCAAGAGGAGGTGCGGCAAGCATTCAACCACAAAAGCCCTGACGAACACGAATCCCAGATGGACAAGCTGCACTACACCAAGGCGGTGATCAAGGAGACCCTGAGGCTCTACCCACCCGTCCCGCTTCTCATTCCTCGTCAGTGCCGGGAGACCTGCGACATCGGTGGGTACGAGGTGCGCAAAGGAAGCAGGGTGATCGTCAACGCGTGGGCGATCGCGAGGAACCCAGCGCACTGGGACAATGCCGACAAGTTCGTGCCTGAAAGATTTGAGCACGATAGCGCGGCAGCTACTACGCAGTTTGAGTACTTGCCGTTTGGGCATGGGAGGAGGATCTGCCCGGGCATAGGCTTCGGCTTATCCACCTTGGAGATCCTAGTGGCACGGCTCCTCTACTACTTTGATTGGAGCCTTCCGGATGGAATGCAGGCGGAGGACCTAGACATGGACATGACTGTTGGTGCGTCGGCCAGGAGAACCAACAACCTGCACCTAGTGGCCTCGCCGTATGAAGTGCCCATGTAGATTTGATATGATGGTTGCAGTTGCAACCAAGTTGTGCCTTTTGCTTCTTTCTTCTACATTTCTCCTGCGGGAATCAAATAAGAGCATTTCACGTATCCACTACAATGTAAGGGCAAATAAATACGTTTCCAGATAAACAATGATGAAAGAGCAAAATGTTTTATAAGATTTTTGAAAATATATACTTTCTGGTGCATGCATAAGCTTTCATTAACAAGAGTTTAACTTGGCCGTCCAAAGTTTTGTAATCCTCTATATATGCCGTCATAATAAAACGTTTAATCTTATCCTTGCTGACAACCACATTCAATCCCACCAGCTTGATTAATGCTAAATAGGATAAGGTGCAGCGGTCCAGAAATGACTTGGGATAAAGTTAAAGCGAATTATAATTTAAAACATAGAGGTTAATAAATTTGATGATTGGACTTTTGAGAAGACGGAAGTATGGAGAAAGCATAGAAATATTTACTAGTAAATATATCATAGCGTTAATTTCGTACTACCCGTGCATTGTTACAGTAATATCGAGTTCCATGCTTCCTTTGAGGACCCATTCTAACCTTTAATTCAATTCCACAAGTTAAAGAATTAATTAGTTGCCGATATGTGAAGCACCGGTCTGTTTAGTTGGACAATCAGTTGAATTAAATTAGATTTTAATAAGATAAACTCCACTTTTAATCAAAACTGTAACAACAACTTAAGTGGTGCTAAAATATTTATTTTATAGAGAAAGATTAGTGTTGAAAGGACCATGATTGCTTCTCTTCTTTGTTTTTTATATTTATAGGAAACAAACATAAAAAATCGATTCAAGGATACACTTCACTCTTTGATATTAGATACATATTTAATGTTTTTGCACGATGACATAGACTAATTATTTTTTAACTTTCAGTACATATATATATATATATATATATTTATTTATTTTGTTGACGATTTTTAAGGTCACACACTAGTATATTTGTCTTCAAAAATAGTTTCACAAAAAATATATATTTGCTGTATTTAATAAATGTATTCATTCTAATAAAATATAGTAGCCAGTTTGAAGCAGTTAACTGTGAACAACAAAAAAACATCACTTATTTGTAACCGGATAGGCATATTAAAACTTGAGTGGTGCACCACAAAACCTAAATAAAGCCAATCACAGTGGAAGTTTCATCTGAGTCTCATTTGTATTTAATATTGTGACACATTAGTAGATTTGATGACTTAGCAGGTTAATATGAAGAGATAGATAAAAGAGAGTTTCATAGAACCTGTGGTTAATACAAAAGCTGATGTGATGGTCTTGGTAATTGTGCCATGAAACTCCTCGCTGAGACTAGCCTAAGAGACAATGGTTTCATGACCCACTCAATTAGTGATGAACACTTAGTCACACAACATTGCTTCTTGTTGTCGATCAAAATTCTGGACAGTGCAAAAGTAGTAAACGATAAGTGCTTTAATTGCCTATAAAGGTTTTCTGCATTATCTTACACTAGAGTTCTCTCAAATGGAGAAAAGTGTGATAGAGAATGACTTGTGTATAGCAAAGAGCTTTGCTTTTGCTACAAATTGTTAAGAGAATAGGGCTCGTGAGAAGTCAGCTAGCAAATGATGGTTTGAGTGATTGGATTCATCTTGGCACTAGATTTAAAGAACATCGAACTAGTAGAGAACATGTCATAGATATGGCTACATGGTACGACTTGCATCACAGGTTTCAGAAGAATGGAACAATTGATAAAGTTGCTCAATAAGAACTTGAAATAGAAAGGGAGGACTGGAGAAGAGTTTTGCTCAGGATTATTTTGATTGTAAAATTTCTAGCGGAACATAATATATCATTTCATGGAAGTAATAACATGCTATGCCAAGACAACAATGGGAATTTCTTAGGACTGGTTCATATGTTGGCTGAATTTGACCCAATTATCAAAGAGCATGTTATCACATGTGATAAATTTGTGATCATTATCTTGGTCCTTCCATTCAGAATGAGTTAAGAAATTTGCTAGCTACGACAATCATTACAAAGGTTAAAATAAGAAAAGTATTTCTCAGTCATCCTTGACTGTACTCTTGATGCTAGCCACCAAGAACAAATGTCTTTGATAATGAGGTATGTTGGCACATCTTTAGATTTTGTTTGCATTAATAATCCTTCTTAGTTTTTTTGGATGTATATGATACCACTAAGCAAGGATTGTTTGATGTTCTACAAGAGGAATTGAAGAGTCTTGACCTTGATGTAGACAACATGAGTGGACAGCGATATGATAATGGGTCGAATATGAGCATTTTATTCAGTTTGTGGTTGTCACAGTCTGGATTTGACACTATGGGATATGGCATGGTCTTGTCGTCAAGCAGCAGATTTTTTTGGGGGAATTATCTAGCGCATCTATACAGCACTTGCTAATTCTGCAAAGGGGTGGCAAATTCTTAAAGATAATATTAGTGGACAAACTCTCTAAGTCATATATTCTAATCTACTCGTTAGGAGAGTCGTGTTGACAGTGCTAATGTTATACTATAGGTGGCTGGAAATAAGGGAGGCTTTACTATAGGTGGCTGAAAGCGATTGATACATTGGCATGCAGATTGGCAGAAAACGAATTTGGTGATTTTGAATTTTTAGTGGCAATAATGATATGGTATGAAATGTTATTTGTTGTTAATTTGGTCATCAAGCAGCTACCATCAATAGATATGCTTATTGATATTGAAATCCTATTTGCGTTCTACTATGACGTAAGAAAGACTCGATGTGTTTGTGGCAATTTTCTTGGAGAAGATTAATTATAAAGATATAATTGGAGATCTTATTTAAATATTCTCAAAAGGAATTTGGAGGTCTCATTACGGATGATGTTTTTTAGTAGAACTTGAGGTTAGTAATACTTTTACTGTATTTCTAAATATTGTACCAAAGAATACATATTATAGTTTTATATTTGAGTGAAAGTATGCCTTACTTTTATTAGCCATACAAACTTTATAAATTTAGGGACCCATTTTGCCTTTTCTTCCTGTGCCCTAAATTTTTTGGAGACGCCTGGCTAACAGCCAGTTCATGTCCACGCAACCAATCCTGTGAACCAAATGAAGTATGGGGATAGTCTTGTCCCACAAACCAAACACTCAAGTGGGATGATCCCATTCCAAAAATTAGAGACGGGGTTATCCTATTTTAAATGGTCTCGAAATCAAACACATGCTAAAATTTAAGTGGAGCACCAAGATAGACCCACGCTATGCAGAGGCAACAAGAACACAAGTACATATGAGACAAAACAGTACCTACCATGGCCCCTTAGACATTATTTCTTGATATGTCTGCTAAGACTTTCAGCTCAAGTGTACACTTCAGAAACATAAGAGGTGATTCTGAAGATACATGTCAGAAACCTCGGCTGCCAATTCTTTGGGACATTAAGAATAATTTTTGGTTTTCTCGATCCTATTGGAAAAAATATGGACCTACGTCTCCTTTTCATGGAACCAAACTGGATCAGAGTTAGGATGGTCAGAGGGGCAATTGATATCCCATAGCAATCAATCAATTCATGGAAAAAATATGGACCTATGTACTTATACTGTGCATGTTAGGTCACCAACTGAAACCTCGGTTTAGAATTCTTTGGGAATTAAGAATAATTATTGGTTTTCTTTCGTTTGTATTGGAAAATTATGGACCTATCATCTCCTTTTCATGGAACAAAAGATTTGTCTTGAATTTACAATCAAGAGGTGTAATTGATTTTTTATCTACATTTCAATCAATTCATGGAAAAAATATGGAAAGATTTGATGTGATTATAGAGTGAAAAAACTGGGTCTAAACCAACTGGATCAGAGTTAGGATGGTCAGAGAGGCAATTGATTGATTGCTTGGTGGATCATATAGTTGCTACATGCTCAACACCTCAGAAATGTGATTGTAAAGATGCATACAAGAGACCTCGGATGCCATCAGAATCATTTTTGGTCTTTGGTTCCTATTGGCATACATGAGTGATTGAGAGTACCTTGACGTTATAGTCATTTATTTTACACACGTCGCCTCACCAACAGCATTGAAGTTAGGGATTTAGGGTTCGGAGCACGAGATGGATCCGATAAAAAAATAGGACTGATTGGTCCTTGGACCTGTGGGTCATTCATCTGCTACAGGCTCCTCACCTGTTTTTCAGCTCAAATGAAGTGGTTCTAATAAAGATGGCTATCTCAGAAACATCCGATGCGGCGATGCCTATCCGATCCTGTTGTCATACGTAAGTGATGAGTTCATTGATGATGCCTACAGGCTCCTAGGTAGTGCCACTGTAGACCAATTTGATTGGTCGTCATGTATGCCTTCATTCGGTTGAGGCAAATGATTGATGGTTTTTCGACGTGTTGTGACTGCAACGGCGCAGCAGGAATGGTTGAGGGCATATATGGCTTATGCCGATTTCTAGGAATCCCCACGGCGTAAAACACTTCGGTGTGACAGATTTAGGAGTGGAACCATGCCAATGAGAAGAAGTTGGAATGATTTCTTGTCAACCGGATAATACGTAATTCAGAAAGTGTGAACGCTGGCATGTCATCGTTGGCATAGATACATGATAGATTGATGGATGTACATTGATTGTGTGGCATTGGAGTGTCCGGACTCTAGAACGAGAAGCTGCTGGACCTTTCATGGTCATGGCTTTTCATGACTTGAAAAGCAATCATAAGGTCCATGGCTTAGCAATCGTGTCGGGATATGATACGACGCCGCGCTGGGGGGGGTGGGGGGAGTCAGCTGTGGAAACTGCTACAGTATGACACAAACCCAATCCACAGTTGTGGAAACTGCTACAGTATGACACAAACCCAATCCACTCACGGCATCTAGGGACTCTTATACGAACGTCTAAAGGAAAAAAAATGAATTGCATCTCTTTTAACTGCTTAATCTACAATAGAAAAACCATGTTGCAGGCGCATCGTATATCAAAATTAGGCCCCGT